ACTCCATGATATAATCTAGTCACGGACAGGCAAATGTTCCGGCGATGAATGATGACGAATACACGTTACTAGGAAAATATGCAACAGTTACCGTTATTTTTATTGTAATAGCGTTATACTAATCTCATGCATTATTTTACGGTAATTCATTTTAATGTATGGTTTAAAAATGTTTAATTTTTTAAAACGTTTTTTATATCTTATTTTCTTTTTTTATTTTAGCGCAATTTTCTGATTTTAACACTTTTTTGAAAAATTTTTAACATTTATTTAAATTATGAAATGTAGAGCAAATTCTTTAACTGGAGAAGTCATTCTTTAAAGAGTTATTTTGTTTTTAATTGATAAATTTTTATCTTTTTTGAACCGACTTTGTTAAAATTATATTATTTCGTAGTGTTGCAAAGATTATTTTTAATTATTGTCCATTTAAACTAAGAAAAAATTATAACTCTTCTTCGTGCATCTTCGTGTATCTCTTTAGAGATATAAAATGATAATTATTTTTCTAATATGTGATAAGAAAGTAAGTGATTCTCTGTTTCACATTTTCAATTGCGGAGCTTTCGCTAAATGGTTTTTGCGAGATTTGAACGATTTATTTTAATGATAAATATGTTCAATTAAAAATTAAAAAATAACTGTTTAATTTTGAATCTTTAAAATACAATTAAACAATATTATTTCTTGTTTTCGAAATAGGTAATATCAAGTAAATAATATAAATTAATATTGAAAATAAAATCTCGGTCCTTCAACAAATCATTCATTAAAAATATTAATTAGAAAATTTAGTTAAAGAATCAGCTTTATATTTACGGTAGAATTATGATGAAATAAAAATACAATGTTTATGAAATTGTATCGCAGAGAAATTGCATAAAAATATCCTGGAAAATTTCTCGAGATTTTCTCGGAAAAGTTATTACATTTGAAAAGACTAAATTATGATTAAATCTCTCTCTCTCTCCCTACATTTATTTGTATCTACATAATTATAAATAAACAGTAAGAATAAACAGTTTGTGCTCCGTACTAATTGAAACAATTTTTCAAGTAAGATTATTTTGAAAAAACAAAAATTAAAAATAAATGTGGGAAGGGGTCTGACGAATCTAAGATTAATTCAAGACTTGGTGAGAAGAGCGAAGGATCGCGAGTATTTTTAAAAGTACTTGAGTGCAGAGGGTTGAAAGAGTTTCTAAAAATTTCTGCAACTGGTTTAATTGAAATGTTGTTATATAATTTTTAATATTTTATCTGTCGACACGAGAACGCCCAGTGCTCTCGACCACAGGCTCCACGTACTCGGTATCCTCTTATTTATTTGTCAGGAGACGGACGTCGCTGCGCATGTGGAGCGTCCTGGCCTGCGCGGGCTGCATCGACCCTCAAACCCATTTCGTACTCTCCAGCAGTACATGCCTAGCCGGATCCCACCGTGCCGGGATAATCGGGAAAATAAGTGAACCGATATCGTATCGAATTGGTCGAGTTAACCGTTTAACAATTCGCCATCGAGGAAACGACAGAGCGAGAGAGAGAAAGAGAGAGAGAGAGAGGGAGGGAGGATCTTGATAAGGCGAAAAAGGAGCCGCGAACATCCGAGCGTTTCTGATTACGTTATCTGCCTTACCAGAGTATATATGCACTGACACGATTTTTGTTAACTTGTTTTTTAAGGGCATCGTTCGTCAAAATAATTTAGAAGTTAAATAACCACGATCAAAGATTTAATTTTGCGAAAGTGGCGAAGAGAGCTTTGTGCGTGCATTAAAATAAAACGTTAAAATATGTCGATCTTGTTGCTTAATTCTTTATTATTGCTAAAGAAAATCAAAATAATAACCAGAAACTTTTAATTCTTAATATTTTTAACAGTTATTTTTGTTGATAATTGATATGTAGCGTCGAATCTTTTATTAAAACCCACTAAAGAATCTTGAACTTTGTTATAAATGTTCTCAAAAACTAACCGGTGAAAGAAATCGAAAAAAAATTCACGTCCTGGCATTATTTATAAAAGAGTTTGTTTTAAACTTTTTGGAATTCTTCACGGAATTTCTGATTCTACTTACAACTTCCTTAAGTAATTAATCGTTTTAACTTGGCAAAGACGAGTCTTAAATCCTTTTACTATAATGTTGTAAAACTGTTCGAGAAGCG